CCGTGATATTGTTCGGTACGGGAAAATTTCGGATGGCACTTGTTTTAACGTCGCCTGGTTGGATACCATTTTCATCGATTGAGTGTCCCAGGTATGAAATTTTCGTCGCCAGAAAAATGCACTTATCAAACCGAAGCGTAAGACCAGCTTCCACTAGAATTTCAAAGAATCGTTCAAGGCGAGAAAGACCCTCTTCTACGGTTTTGCTTGGAATGACCACGCCACTAATATCTCTCCATTGCCCATCTTCGAAATAAGTTTGTCCATAATAGACTGGAAAACAGCCGGGGCATTGACGAGCCCGAACGGCATGCGGTTATACTCAAAATGTCCGTCGTGCGTAACGAACGCTGTGAATTTGTTTGAGTCCTCGTGAACTTCAATTTGATGATACCCCATTCTTAAATCCAAAGTTGTAAAATATTTGTTGTCGGCCAGCTGGGCGAATTGTTCATCCATGATAGGCATAGGGTATGGCATCTTATCCGTGATTGAGTTGAGTTGGCGGTAATCGACACACATGCGATGCTCGCCATTACTTTTGGCCACTAAAACAACAGGTGAAGCGTAAGTTGATTCCGACGGTCGTATTATATCGTGTCGTAGAAGGTCATTCGTTATACCTGTTAAAATGGCACGTTTAGCAAATGGAACACGATATGGTTTCATTTGAATTGGTGAATCAGATTTCAGGTTAATTTCCAACTTGGCCACGTTACACCTACCAATCTCGGAGGTATTACCAGCAAAACATTCATGATATCTCAAAAGCACGAGTTTGAGTTTTTCCACCTCAGTCGGTATTAGTGTAGGAGAGTGGTTGACGTTATCTACTTTCTCCAATCGACAAGCATCGTCCTCTATAATCAACCGTTTACCCTTTCCACACAATATGTCACAGCCCAACAGCACGTTCTCATTCATAAAATTGTCGTCTACAACAAGTAGATTACTCACAACACTATTCCCATCAATTTCAACGGATGCCTCAATTTGTCCGGTACATACATATTGACCACCAGCAAAACCTTCCAGCAAAATGTGGGTATCCTCAATATTACCCACTATGGCGGCATAAGATTCCCCAACTAACGATCGGTTACTACCAGGATCAACAAAAGCATTTGTCGTGTTTCCATTGATCTTCACTCTCTTAATAATCACGTTACTTTTACCACCCACAAGTTCTGGTGTAACATCATCAATCTTATTCACCGTTCCCTTTGGTCCAGCTTTTTCAGGGCACTTATCGGTTGCATGTGTCGTTCGTTTGCAATTGTCACAGCGGGGCTTACGTTGCGGTTCAGGGCACTTTACGGAGTAGTGGCCTAATTTAAAACAGTTGAAACATTTCACATGTTGTTCGCCCTTAGCATCGATATTCTTCTTATTGGTTGGTGTAGCCACCACAGGTAAAATCCTCCTTGGCACATTGGTTGCATGTTTAATCTCATTATAATTGCAATAAATAATTATATCCTTCAATAAATCGTTGCACGTCTGATAGTTGTTGGATATTTTTCTCTTAAGATCGGGATCATTTATACCGTTTATGATATGACGTATTATTGCAGATTCGGGAATATATGCCTTAGACCCTATAGCAACCATTTTATAAAAGTAGTCCTGCGGAGATTCATTATTCCCGCGTTTGGTGTTTGCCATTTCGATATGGACATCGGCCACATTTGAAGTAACTGGAAAATCTCTCAAAAATTTCGCACAAAAATCGGCCCACGTAACAAATATTTCCACTGTGGAATCAATCCAGTATTTTGCAGGACCACTTAACTTCTGTTGCACTGCAAACAATAATATTTGGTCATCCCAATTATAGGCTCGCTTAAGACTATCAATTCGTCTAATAAACTGTTGAGAGTTCAAAGATATTTCAACAGATGGGTTGAAATCCGGTAACAGACCAATTATCTCGTGTACATTGTTATACGGGTTATACGACGAGTACCGGATCGGTTGTGTTGGCGGTGGTGCGGTAAACGGTGAATTACATGTAGGTGCCATAAACGCAGCATTAGTCGGTGGGTTATACGTTTGTGTTGTAGTCGGAGTATACGGCTGTGTTGTAAAAACTCGAGTAGTCGGGTGATACGTTTGTGTTGTAGTTGAATTATACGGCTGTGTTGTAAAAACACTTGCGATCGGGTTATAAGGTTGTGCTGAAGGTGCACACGTAGTCGGGTTATACGCTTGTGTTGTAGAAACACACGAAATCGGGTTATACGGCTGTGTTGTTGCAACATTCGTGAGTGGGTTATACGGCTGCACTCTAGAAGCACACGTAGTCGAGTTACTCGTTTGTGTTGCAGAAACACACGAAATCGGGTTATACGGCTGTGTTGTTGCAACATTCGTGAGTGGGTTATACGGCTGCACTCTAGAAGCACACGTAGTCGAGTTACTCGTTTGTGTTGCAGAAACACACGAAATCGGGTTATACGGCTGTCCACTAGTAGAATATACGAGAGTAGTTGGTGATTCCAATGAACATGGCAAGGAAAAAGTAACAGTCGGGTGCACATTATCATTAACCTGTGGTTGAGTAACATGTGTAATGCTGCTTATTGGTGAAAAAACATTTGTACACGTAGCTTGTACATCAATATTCTTAGTCGTTGTTGCCTTTGGCGATGACACGATGGCAGGATAAAAACCTTTATCACGTAGTTCGACTAAACTCTTTTCCAAAGCATGTACCCTATCCAATAATTGCGATCCATTGGTAAAACTGGAAAAATGTTCTTCTGAGTAATACTCCTCCAGACGTTCGATTAGCTGTTGTTTATTACCAGACGTTGGTAAACCAATTTGTTTGCACCGTTTCTTCAATTCATCGACTTTCATTTCTTCAATATTACGACCAGGTGCCATGAACTGTACTTATTCAATAAATTCGTTTTCCTTTTTTCCAACGAAATTTAAAACTGCTTCTCTCTAATTTATTGTCCGTTACAGTTTTTCCACGAAACGACGTCTACTGCGGCAGAACAAAATGAAAACGTAGAGACAAAACAATACATACAAACAGCGACATGCATATACAAAATTCAACGGAAATTTTGCAAACACCCAACAACAGCAACAATGAAGCAATTAAAGTTCTCCTTCACACGTTTATAAATCGCGAAATTAATTGTTCATCCCACTTCTGAAAATTGTCAAGACGGCTTTTGTAAACAATAAAAAAAATAATACGAGGATTTATTTAACTCAAAGAAAATATATTTATTAATTTAAAATAAACAATACGGATATTAATAAAACAAATACGGTCGCGCACGCGTCTATTCTCTTGCGAATTCAGTTCTATATTAATTTCCTGACTAACTCAGAAACAAAATATATTAAATACAGAGTCGTATTCTCAACACAGGGTGACAATATTCTTCAATTATATTTCCGATTATTTTTCAATATTTAGCGTTTTTTCGCTCCCTTGATGTAGAAAAATTGTTGTGTTTTTATTTTTATAGAATAATTTATTTTTTGAAAGAAAATTATCTAAGTTCAATTAAAACAGAACTTTGAAAATTGTATACTTATCACACATTATATTTTATTAAACGTTTTTTGAAATTATAATTTTTATTTCAAAGGCTACACTTTTTAATTTGAAAAATACATTATTTAGTTAAGAAAATTTTAAAAAATTTTCACAGGTTTGAATCAATGTTTATTCCGAGTCTTTAAATACAGTGAAGTCGATTAAGCTTTCTCCATCTGTTTGTCTGCCCGTCCGTATGTTTGTTGAAATCAATTTTCTGAAGACTCCAGATATCTTCGGCACCCAAATCGTAAACAATTCTGTCAGACATCTGGAAGTTTCCTACTTAAAAGCAGCAAAATTGTTTCATAAATAAAGGAAATATGAACAAAAATCCAAGAAAACCTCTGAAAATTTCATCAAAACTTGAGATGTTTGGTGCATGCTAATACAAAAATAAAAATATTCTATAATATTGAACCTATAAACATGAAATTAAACATGTAGAGCACGGAGTAATCGAGAACAAATAAAAGGGGACTTTTTGGCACTTTTTCCTTCTTCAATGGATACTTTAAGGTTATGAAAATCTATAGGAAAGGATTTTTGGTACTTTTTAGTTCTATAACTGGTACTTTTTGGTTTTTATTCACACAAGCAGCACCCCAATTGAATGAAAATCTATAAAAAGGGACTTTTTTTTAACTCCTACTGACTGTTTTTAATACATCATGGTGAAGGGTATATAAGATGCGGCACAGCCGAATATAGAACGCTTAATTGTTTTATTTAGATGTTGATCTAAATACATATGTAACATAATTATTTTATATATACTTATTGTTAAAAGCAGAATAATTACTTAAAGAGCCAATATAATTTTAAATAAAGACCATTCAGCCTTATTAAGAAAAGTTGTCATAGCGGAATATGAGTCATTTTTACATCCTAACCACTATAGTGGCAAGGGTAATATGTGTTTGTGCTGATGTTTGTAACACACAAAAATATTAGTCATATTACCACAGTATTCCTATCGCAAAGACAAGTATGTGTTATGTTTGGCCCTATTTTGCAAAACTATTGGGTTTGGTTGAAATATAATACCTATACAAAAAATCTGCAAAACTATGTTTTATAATAAATTTTATATACATAAGCCTTAATTATTACGATTTTCGTAATGATTGGTCCCAATTTGAGGGTAGCCCCATACAAAGACTCCTTCTCCTTTAAATATACTCCAAACTAGTTCACCCATGTCTAACGAATGTAATAACGAATGCGACAACGACTAAGGCAACGAACTTTTAAAAGGATAAAATATATTTATGTACATATGTATGTACATAGTATTTTGTACATACAAATAAATAAATATCAAAAAGTAAATTTAAATTTTGCTAAAAAAATATATGTATGCATACACACTGTGTTTAAGGCGTCAGTATATATTTCATAACATTATTATTTAACCGATAAGATTCTGAGATAAAAAATTAATTTTCCCTAAAAGCAATTCATTACATTTACATGAACATGTATTCGTACAGTCATTCAAATACTTTACATTACACGTAGTTACTTCGTTCACTAACAAGGACTCACTTGGAGTAATAACATTTGCCGTTGACAAAGTAATTAATAATTATATTTAAAAAGCTGCTAAAAAAATATTTATTAAAACAATTATTGGAAAACTCTATATTATTTAAAAAGGGTATAAGATGTGTCCTGGACCTTTTTCGGTTAATATGAGTGGAGAAAAAGTAAAATCATCACCTTTACGTCAAACAAGTAGAAGTGCATTCATGATGGACTCAAATAATAACGAGTCAGAAACGTTTTTAAGTGATATTACTGACCTTCTCTACATATTGAAGGCGACAGGGCTCTTGCCCTTCTTTCGAGCTATATCCAACTATGAACTAGGACCTCCATCTATATTATCACGTATCTACACTATTATTGCTCATCTTCTGATTCATTCGATGACGATTTACAATCTTTATAACCTATTCTCGGATGGTTCCACACAACTATTTTATTCGTATCGTGAAACGGATAACATAAACTATTGGATTGAAATCCTTTTGTGCATTGTAACATATACAACGACAGTTTTCTTATGTTTCAGAAACGGGAAATCATATTTGAACATTTTAAATGACACTCTCAAAGTGGATGAGGAAATAAGTCGAAAATTTTCGATTAATATGGTTAATAATTGCGGATTTGCCATCAAGTTCATTATAATAATAGTAATTTTCCAAGTTTACATAATCATTTTACAAATATTGTCAATCAAGGAACCATTAACTGTGGCCTCATACATTCTCATTGCATTTTATTCATTGCAAAATGGTTTGTCGTCAATATTCATCGTGTATGCTTCGGTTCTCTTGCGTATTATAACGGTACGTTTCGAATTTTTGAACAAAATAATAACTGGTTACACGTACCGTGAGCAGAAGGCAAAAGTCAGACAACGAATTACACGTGTGAACAACGGCGACATTTTCTCACAACCACGATCCATGGAAAACTTTCCAGATGAGTCACTATTTGCCTTTCGTATGTACAATAAATTATTGCGTCTCTACAAGGCTGTCAATGAATGTTGCAGTCTAACACTGGTCGTCTATATGGGTTATGCATTTTATTCGATTACCACAACTACATACAATTTATTTGTTCAGATTACAACACAAATGGACAGTGCAATGGAAATGTCTGTGAATGTGCTGCAAATCTGTTTTGTATTACTGTTCATTAATACTATTATGTTGGCCCTATTATCGCGGTGTGCTGGACAAGCTACAGATCAGGTATGTATCAGGTATATATTATATTTATATTGGGTATAGAATCATTTTTTGACTCGATTTAAAGGTCGCAATTTTAAAGATAATTTAATTAAATTTGGCACGTGATCTTTTATTGTCCCAGGGATGAAGCCTATTGAAAATGATTAAGTTCGGTCCATTATTTCACCTATCCTTCATACAACTGAACGCCCGAATAGGACATGTAAACCGTGTAATCAAACTACAGGTTGCAATTTGAGTTCATAATTATGTTTAATATACTCATATCTATGCTTGTATGTTCAATAATTCAGAAAATCAAAGAAGTACCATTTGATTGACGAAAAAGTACCAGAAACTATCATTTTATTTTCATTTCATCAGGATGTCTGATAACACTAGTTTACAATGATTTTGCTCTTGATATAAAACCTATATGGATTCTTCATTTTGGCCTTCTAAGTTCAGAAAAAACATTAAAAAAATCTAGGACTTCAAACTTTTGAATTATTCATAAAGAAATGAATAGATGCCATTTTTATCGCTTACACATCCAAGAGTTTTTCGGAAAATTATAAATGAGAATGTAAGAAATGAACGATGAGGCATAAATTCACATCCGTACGTTTGTAATTCTGGAATAAAATGTCAATAATATATTCAAAATTTATAATTTTTTAATTAAAAAAAAAAAATTCAAAAAAATGATTAAAAATCGGGCCAATAAGAAAGAAATTTGGTTAAAAGTGGGTTAAGGAAGTCCAAAATTTTATATTATTGATTTTTTTCTGAGTTGATCAGTTGTTAGGTTCCCAAAACAGGTACAAGCACCCAAAAGTCAATACTCATTTTCAAATATTTTTCCAGCACTAGAGATGGTAAGTGAAACCACATTATTCAATATTTCGACGTATAGGAAAAAAATAAAAATTGTTAATTAACTACCGGACATACATAGCCCTTTCTAAAAATATATGTTTCATTCCATGATCAAACAAAAAATATTAATTTGTAAACTTGTGTTATGTTTCTAGATTAATTATTGCAGAAAAACCAAAAAGTACCATTGAAGAATGAAACAGTACCAAAAATCCTTTCCTAAAGATTTTCATTCACTCAGTATTACATAAAATTCAAAAAGTACATTTTGAAGAACCAAAAAGTCTACGCTTCTACGTTCTTATTTACTCCGGGCACTACATGCTTAATTTCATGCTCTAGGTTTAATATTATAGAAAGCTCAAAAAGTACCAGTACCCTTCGCGAAGGTTACGGGTATCACAGATCATATTTATAATTAAAATTCCACATATTTAGAGCAATATCCCACCACACTTTATTAAAATCAGACTTTATCTTTAAATATTTTGTAGCAATTTTTGAATTTTAAATTAAAGGCGATTGCATATATTAGAGATAGTTGAAGTCGTGGTCTGATTTCTATTGATTGATAGAAATGGTATTCATACATACAGTGGTGGAAAAATAATAGAAACGACTTTATTTTGTGGTATTTTTCTCAAAAACTATCCGTTAGAATTTTATGTTTTATAACTTAAATAAAAGGTATTTAACACTACTTTCTTGTGATATATAGAGTTTACAAGCTTTTTTGCTCCATTATTTTTTATTGGCATTTGAAATATTTAGCATTGGAAAAAATAATAGAAACGATTCATAGTATTACACTGGAGACATAAGCTAAGTTTTTTTTAAACGGCGTTTTTGTATTTATTTTAAAAACTTTAATTGTATTATATATTATATTTTGATATTCCCAATATCAAAATATACTTTTTCCTAGGTTCTTTATGTTAACGTGTGTTTTTTTCAACGCCTGGTTGACCATATGAGCTCTGACGACTGAATTGTAGCCACGACTTTCAAATTTTCTTAAATAAAAAGTTAAAGCAGTGAAAGAATTTACTTAACATTGTTAAATTACTTAAAAAATTAGTTCTTGAATAGATTTCGTGCCGAAGAAGTTTTGAATCTGCTTACAGATAACAATAATCCACCGATTTTTTTGCCCAGATTTTGAGCAATATTTCACATTTTGGCAACTCAACCCGTTCTTGGGCTTAAATATCAAAGTTGAATTTAAAACTAAAATTTAAAGAAATGTAAAAATTTCGAAAATTAAATTTAAATTTAGGTATAGTACTGTTTGGGAATTAATACTAGTACATATATATGTAGATCTATTGCAAAAAATAAAACAGAATATTTTTAAATGAGGAAAATAAAATATGTTTTTTGTTTCATTACCTTTTCTAAGATCTAATACGTTTATTTTATGAAAAAAATTATAAAGAATATTCTTTCTGAATTTTTAATATGATAGGGTGAATTTTATCTAAACTTACGTTACAGTAAACTACCTACAATTCAAACTGAATTATAAAATTGTTTAGATTTTGTGAACTTTTTGTGTTAAATTTAACTTATATTAGCATAATTTCACAAGTCCATCAGTATACTTTGATATTTAAGGGCTTTTTTAACCACCAAGAACGGGTCGAATTGCAAAATAGCGAAATATTGTTCGAAATTTTCCCAAATATCGGTGGATTCTCGTAATCTATAAATGGATTCAAAACTTTTTCTTCTCGAAATCTTCTCAAAAACAAATTTTTTAGACAATTTAACCATTAGAAGTCATTTCTTTCACTATCTGAACTTTTTATTTAAGAAAACTTGAAAGTCGGGCCTCTGACTCAGCTGTCAGGATCCATATGGTCAATCAAGCTTCGAGAAAACAAATGTTTACATAAAAATTAAAGTAAAAAGAATACTTTTATATTGAGAATTTCATTTATAATTAAAATTTTTAAAAATAAATACAAAACGCAGTTTAATAAATCTCAGCTTATCTCCCCAGTAAAATGCTGTGAATCGTTTCTATTATTTTTTCCAATGCCAAATTTTTTAAATACCAATAAAATGTGACGGACCAAAAAAACTTAAAAACTCCATATATCATAACAAAGTAAACTTAAATGGTTAGGTTAGGTTGATAGGAGGATGTATACTACATCAAATCCGAAGAAATACACCTAGGCCACTATCGGGCCTGTTGTGCGCTCCAATTCAAGAAAGAAAAAAGAAAAAAAAAATTGTTCACTGAATGTATTATTTTTCCATGTTCAGAAACTCAGTTTCCTGGACGTAATTCCTAAGAATCTTCCAATCGGTGTTGGTTAAGAATGTTATTTCCGGAATAACATCACTTCCAAGATACTTGGATCTAACTTCGACGAATGCCTGACAATGGCAAAGAAAGTGCTCCAGAGTCCGCTCACTGTCCTCTCCACATGCTCTACATTCGTCTGAATCCGCACGTCCAATTTTGTATAGGTGTGCTCGTAATCCTGTGTGTCCACTCAGAATACGTACCATCATACTAACCTCAGACTTGCTCGTTTTGAGAAGATTTCTCGTCTTGCTCTCATCAGGGTCACCCCATAGAATCTTTGTGGTTCTACCCACCGTTTCATTATTCCAAGAGGCCTTATGGGATTCTCTCATCAATACTTTTAATTCAGCTTTTGTTGCGTCGAATGGTTTTGCGTTTGTCAGGTTAACTACATCGAGCTCCCTTCCCTTTAAAGCTATTACATTCGCCCTTTCGTTGCCGACTACTCCCGAGTGGCCTGGTACCCATATGATATGAACCTTACCTCTGGGAGAGTATTCAGTTAAAGCTTTCTTACAATCCAATACGGTCTTAGATTTAATTCTATCACCTGATATCGCACAAATTGCCTTCTGGCTGTCGGTAAATATATTAAGCCCTGTGGGCGCCATATTTATTCTAATCCAATGCCTGGAAGCTTGTGTTATGATTAGGTAAACGGTGGTATATTTCTGTTTCTGGGTCTTCAATATAGAACCCCAGGCCCACTTTGTCCCCTAATTTAGAGCCATCCGTGTAGCAACGGATTCCTACTGGTATTTGCTCTAATGTTCCGCTTGACCAAGACATTCTATCTGGGATTAGCGTTTCAAAGTTTCCGACATATTTAATTTAATCCAGAAACCTTGTTGCGAATCGTCCAAGGTTCCTGGATTAAAGCTATATGTATTTTACCTGTGTTGAATTTAGCCATCAGAGCGTTGGTAGCTGTCTCGCTCCGATGGAGGTTTATTTGGATAACCTCAATCATGGTCATCCATTAAACTGTCTTCCAGCGAGTTGGTGGTCACCTCCTCGCTCTTTGGATTTGACTCCTCCGGATAGCCTGAAGTGGCTATTAATGCAGTGGGTACTGTTGATGGCACTGCGGTGTCCTTATCAGGAATAGGAATAGCAGTATTTTTAATAGACACATTCCCAATTCTGGAGAGCACTGCTGTTCTGTCTTCTGGCGGGTGAGTGATTTCCTCCTCGCTTTTAGGATTTGACTCCTCAACATTGCTAGTACTTGCTAATGATGCTTTGGGTACTGTCTTAGGTGTTTTAGTGTCCTTGTCGGGGCCGGTTTTGACAGCCTTTTCAATCGGCGCCTTCCCAATTTTGGAAAGGGCAACTACACTTTCTTCTGGCGAGTTAATGGTAAATTCCTCGATTTTAGGATTTGACTCCTCAACGTTATCAGTAGTGGATACTAGGGTGATCGACTCGATTTTTCAACCGGTTTTAAAACCGGTTTTTTCTGCTTTACCGGTGTCGGTTTTTTCTAAATGTTGATTTTTCGAATATCGAATAACACGGTTTTTTCACTTTTTAAAAACCGATTTCGAATACTTTTATTTGCTTTGTATTCAAAGATTATTTAAATTAAATTTTGAAGTAAATAATAATACAGCCCGTTTAAATTTTAAAAATATTCGAGTCCAGGAACTAGGATATATTTTTCTAAAGCACCATTGGTTAAACTTTTTTGATTTTCCTAATTAATTAAAAAATTTCATTTGTTAAATTGATAACTGTTTAATAAAATTTTATTAATCTTAAGATTATATTCCAATTACAATAATTAATTTACCGCTGAAATATTATGGAAGTGATGGAATGCCTATGAAAATTTCCTAAAAGGGCTTTAGAATAAGCTAGGATTACATAGTACCTTATGTTTAACAGAAGTGTCCACTTTTTTCCTAATTTTTTTTTTATATTAAAGAAATAATGTAAATCAGACGACTAGATCTAAAGTTATAATCTGTTAAACTGTTAAAAATCATTTCGGGCCATGTTTTATTAATCAAATTTAAACATAAACATTAATTTCTTCAAATTAACATATTTTTTTTTATTTATTATGAAAAACCGGTTAACCGTTTTTTTCTGAATTTGAAAAATATCAACCGGTTTTTTTGAAATGTCAACTATTCGAACTATTCGAAAACCGGTTTTTGGAAAATGTCGAATAATCGATCACCCTAGTGGATACTGATGCTGTGGTCTTAGGTTTTTTAGTGTCCTTTTCGAGGCTTGTTGTAACAGCCCTTCCAATCGGCACCTTCCCAATTTTGAATATGACAGATTTAGAGGCGAAGTAAGCCCTACCTTTATTCTTGGCAAGACTAGTCATGGATTTCTGGTCGATACCTATTACAAATAAAGTTCCCTCAGGTTCTTCTTTCCTGTAAAAGACATCCCATTTTTCCACGGCCAGCTCAGCATTCTGACCTCCAAGAATTTCCAGTATACGTTCATTAGCCAGTTTACTGCCCCATCCTTTTATGTAGACAGTGGATTTTAGGAGCACCGGAAGCTCGCTCTTCCTTGCCAGTCCCAGCCTAGCGCCGTCCCAGGGAGGAGGGATACTTTCCACCAAGTTCTTTAGGGTGCTAACACATTGGTGAGATGCCAACCTCATCAACATCACGCCCATGAACTCGCAGCTCTCGCTCTCTATTGGTTGTTTGCCCTTTGAAGCGATTGCATGGTCCACAATCTTATTGTTGACCAGGTCTTCTATTTTACTCTGTTGGTCTATTGGAATTTTGCCTGTCGGATTACCGGCATCGTAAACTGCATAGCAGAGATCGTCCCGGTGCCTACTTCTGGCAACTTTGGCGTAAGATGGCGGCTCTTTTCCTTTTCCTCCGTCTAGCTTCTCCTTCCTCGTTTTTCGGGGCTTCTTTTGAGATTCCCTTACCTTCGAGGTTGATTTCGCCGACGTGTTCGTCTTCGGAATATCTGGCTTGGCGTTGTCACCCTTACTCTCAGGATTCTGACTTGAGGTTCCTTTGAGTGAAGTATGGCTTGGCTTCGACTGTGTATTAGAAGACGGGGAGCTCTTTTTCTTCTTAGGTTTATTTTCAGTTGTCAACTCCTCGGGAGACCTGATCCTTTTTGCCTCAGATCTTGTGAGAGAGTCCGATTTTTCCTTTGGAGTGTCGTGGGATTGACTAACTATGATTTCCTGAAGCATCTTTTTCAACTTCCTCCTCTGTGCTCCAGAAAGTCTTTTCTTAGTAATAGGTAGTTTAGCTATGCTATCACTCACCTCTTTCACCATTTGCTCTACTTCATCCTTTTTGGGATTTGCTATAATGGTATTATTATTATTATCATCTGAGGATTCAGAGTCGGAACCCTCAGCTATATTTAAAGGCTGAGGTAGCTTAGAGCTCTCTCCGAGTACATCCTTCTCTTTCACCTCTATATTTTTGCCAGCGGCATGCTGTACACTTGACGCATTGTCCGCCACAGAGGCCAAGGTACCCACCTCCGCAGGATGACGACGACACGTGACTCGCGAGTAGATCAACACTTGCCGCCGGTACTGGGTTATTTAGGCCCTGCACCGTAACTTTTATCTTTTTATTTTTATTTTCCATATTTGTTTTTTCCAGTTTTTTGGTCCGCGGGGAATATAATATTCCCAGGTGGTGGACAATCTGCACTCCCTCAGCTTAAGTGAAATTAAAGCTGGGAGAGGACAGATGGTCCATCACCACCCCCTATCCGCCACCCGGGGACGCGCTCGGTAGGAAAAAACTGGAAAACTCCCCCGAGAGTAAACTTAAATACCTTTTAATTAAGATACAAATCATCAAATTCTAAAAGGTAGTTTTTGAGAAAATTTAGTTTTCACCACAAAATAAAGTGGTTTCTATTATTTTTTCCACCACTGTATGTAAGTATGTTAACTTTTCTAATCACATTATTTAAATCTACTATTCTATTAATCTATTTAATCATTTACTTTTATATTTTAGGCAAATGAAACATCGGAGATACTAGCACGCGTGTATGGTAAAAGCAAGGAGTATCAAAATATCGTATGTCCATTAAATAAAACTATATAGAAGGCTAATTATTTCAATATCTAGTAATAAGTTCATTTATGTCAGTTATTGTACTTAGCATTTAACTTTGATGAGATATTGGAATAATGGGTCTTTAACATATTATGTAGTACAATTCACATTCATTTGTACATGATGTTTCCGTATTCGTCAGATTTGCAGGAATAGCAGTAAATAGCTGTCATAATAAAAATTTCAACATGTTTTTTGTTTTTGTGATTATTTCAGACCAGCGTAACCGGCGATTACGGAAACATGTGTACCGACTTTATACTAAAATCTTTATTATATTTCTATTGCAGGTTGATAAATTTTTAACAAAAAGCATTAAACAAGAAGTACAATTCACTGCTTATGGTTTTTTTGTTATCGACAATTCGACACTTTTTAAGGTAAAATCATAAAAAATCATAGACATGTACATAGTAGGGAAGTTGAAAATGCCAGTTTAGCTAATGCAAATGAGTAACCTAATAAGAAATAGTATTCGCTAAAGAAAAAGCGAATGCAAAAAAGTAAGGGAATAATAAAATTAAGCATTCGTTTCATCCCTAATATGTACATAGTATAACACAATATGAGGTACCAAAATTCTGAAATTCTTACAAACTTTCCATAAGTTTCTATTCATCTAAAATAATTTATCGATATTTTGCGTTCACGCCCATTGCTTAAACGAACATATAAATCCCACAAATTATAGTAGCTACAGTCCTCACAATTTGCACAAACAAGTCATAACGTTTGTATAATTATTTCTGAGAGGGCGTGAGATCTATAAGTTAGAATTTTTTACGATTTATTTTTCCTTGTATCAGGTTTCTGAGATATCGTCATAAAATTTAAAAATTCCGTTTTAGGAAATAAATGAGACTTTATAATAGCGCGAATACACTTTTATTAATAAAATCTGTTATGCCATCTGATAATCCAATCTTTAAAATAACCTTTAACCTTTGAAACAACAACCCATTATAGGGTTTTTTGATTTTATGACGATATATCGCTCAAAATGTTCTCAGATTTTGTATAAGTAATACATATATGCAATTTTTACTTCATTTAAGATATTTTCGGCCGTTACAACATATCTGGTTATTTTAATACAATTTAAACAATTGGAAGAATCAAAAACGGTGGATGCATCATAAAAATCAAATTAAATTTTTAACAAGCTATATTAATATTTTTTCTTATATGAATTTATATTTTATTAATCAATTAAATAATGTTCATAATTTTTTTATTATAGCAATTTGTAAAAATAAATTGATCTATTTTATGTACACTTACATTTGTTAATGTATATATAATATACATATAAATAATAAAACACTTGCATATTTGATCTTTGCATAAATTGTTTGACTTTAAAGTGAGTTGAATACGGATTTATCAAAAAGTTCTTATTTTATTGTCTACTTTTTATAAAAAAAAAAACATTAAATAATATTGTCTATATTTTTTAAAAGTTTGGAGCCAATTATAATATTTATAAATAATTCGGCAAATAAATGCACCAATATTAAATGCATATCAAAAGCTACACCGACTTTACACGTGTCGGTGCTACAACAACAACCAATATCAAAGGTGTGGTCGCAAAAGTGATGTATTGATATTATGGTAATAGACACGAATCTCTGTTTTTTGAGTTCCCTGCAATTGTAGTACACGATCCATTAGATTTCGTGGTTCTCACCTAAGACTTCGGAATGTTAAATGGTTAGTTTGCGACTAGTCCAAGTCATTTATGGAATGCTCTTCACACGTAAGTTTAATTGCAAATAAGCGAAAATATATTTTGTAATTAAGCTTTATCCTCTTATAAGTATAACAATATTTATTTTTATTATAATTTTTTTATTTGTAAAATTAAATATCATTTACATTTGGTAAAAAAAGAAAAATACTCGTAAATAACAAACATATTTTTATATAAATGAATAAGATGATGAGCTTTTACGACATTGCAGTATAAGAAGAATGCAAGTTAATTACGATAATGAGCCAGAAGTACTAAATTATAACAAAAAAAACGAAACACCATTCACTAAAAGAGAAATATTTATAAACAGATTTAAATTCCAAACAAGAAGAGAAATAAAATAAACTTATTTTCACAGCTTTGGAAAAGCATAAGCGAATAAATTATACTAAGATAATAAACAAAAAGAAATTCCATAATTTAAATAAATAATTCAAAAACTAATGGATTGATAGAGATAAAGAGCATAAATACAATAGAATGATTTCTTAGCAACTCAGTACTTTTGATTTTCGTCTGGTTTCACCAAAAAGGAATGAACATATTCTATCAGCCACAAACGCTGCTATGGTATCAGCTAACAAAACGTATATCAGTATTTGGCGGAACTAAAAGAGTGTAAAATAACAAAATAAGTATAAAACTTTAAAATTTATGAACATCCAGAAAGAATCTAAAAACTTACATCACTTGGAAAATCGACAATTTCAAAAGTGTTTGTCAAATCTGGCGATAGACCCAAGGCCAACATAATCACTAAGCCAGTAGACACAAGAATTGAATACAAAAGTAAACGATTCTCTCGCAAACTTTCCATAAACGGATGACCCTATTAATGAGAACACACAAACAGAAGAATATGTAAAAATAATAATAATGTTGCAAAGGGAAAACTAATTATGAATTACCTTGTAGTTAACAGCAAATGTGGACACTTGTAATGCCAAACAAATTATGTATACAGTGCTGTTAATAATATTCGGCTCAAACTTTTGTTTCTCTTCAGCATCCATGTCAATGTACAATTTAACTTTTCCTTCCCTGAGCAAATAAAAGTTTTTTATTATTTGTTGATATTTTGTTCATAACTGATTTATTATCAAGTGAAAATACCTTGGTGGTGCCCTGGCCGTTGCCTCTTGTGTTAAGTAAAACAATGCTGTGAAGTGAACAGCAAATTGGCACAGTATTGTTGTGACCGTGTAAAAATTGAAAATATTTGGCAGGGGTGCTGTTTTCGAAAGGGTTTTTAAAGGCTACAAAGCAAAGTTATTGAATTATTTTTAATAAATTTATAAGTGTATAATTTATAAAAAGTTTACTTACTTTTGAACGTGTAATGAAAAGGAAACAGGCTGCAATAAAAAGACCCTGCAGTGTGGCTTGAGTGTCACTGAATTTTACGCCGTCAATGTAGAGTACAGATTGACAATATGCAGAAATGAGAGCATTTAAAGCCAAAATTTTAAACATTTGCAATGTCGTAACTAAAGTACAACGTCCCTGTTTTATGATATGGTTAACTAAAAAATTTAAAAATAAATTGAGTTTTTTATTATATCGCACATAACTAAAAAGAACATACCACACATAATCGATGAAGATTTGCTAGTAAATGGTGCTGCAATACTAGCATCTCCCAATTTTACAACCGACACTTGTTCCTCATCAATTTCTCTTAACACTGTTTGTAATCGCGCTTGAGTTTGGGCAATTTGTTCTCGCCTCTGTTGTAGGGCACGCTCACGTGGTGATAATGCTTGATTTTGTGGTCGATTAGCCAGTGAAGTTGGAGCATTACGACCACCTAACCGTTGATTGGCAGTAGCTGCAGCAACATTAGTTGGGGTAGCAGCATTTTCAACAGTACCAGTAGCCGTAAGGGCAGTGTTGGTATTTCGCTTTGTTGGTACACCAGAAAGCAACGAGACTCCAACATTTGCATGTTTCAAAGCACCCACATCGTTTGTACCGTCACCACACATAAGAGTACAATAGCCGAGATGCTTAAGCGTGGTAATAACATATTCCTTCTGCTTGGGAGCAAAACGAGCGCAGACTGTAACACGCGGTAGAATTTTTAACATATACTTATGCTGATGTTCCTTTAGATATTGTAGACCTTCACCGGTTATACATAGATCAAAATCATTTAGGGAGTCAAATTCCAAGTCAAAAACATTTTCGCCGTCAATAGAAACCCATTGCCATTCTCCAGCATTCTTTTGAGATGCGGAAAGTACGAGCAGCTTCTTTCTTGTGAAACGCAATTCTTTGGCAACATGACAAGCGGTCAAAGGATTGTCGCCAGTAATCATGACCACCTTATGTGATGCTTGTATAAGTTCTTTGATGACACTCTTAGAATCTGGTTTCATGGGGCAGGATATTATAACAAAACCAGCAAAAGTAAGATCACATTCGACATCTTCTCGTTTAAGTTCGCGTACTTGTTGGTTGCTCAAATTACCGAATTCTTTAATACCTAAAGCTAAAACACGTGCTCCGCGACGAGAATACTCTAGGAAGGTCTATAATAAAAAATATGTATTGTTGTGGTTTTTGCTAAATTCATAAAAAAAAACTTCGTAATAAATGTGAATACCACCTACCTTTTCATAATTTTCTGGTACATTTTTCAACATTTTTATTAAAACTTCTGGTGCTCCCTTAACTGTTCCAATGTAATTGACCTCATTACCGAAAGGCGACAAATAGCCAGCCAAAACAGACATGCGTTTAAGAGCAGAAGAAAAGTAGAAACGTTGATAGATGCGCAGTGGTTTCAATTTGCCCCTTTTTGGTATTACACTTTCTTGTTTTGTAAGATTCCAATCGACAGCAGTTAGAGTTGCCTTTTCCAGAGGATCTCCAACCAAACCGTCTTCAAGCATTACCAATGAATGGCAAGTGGCCAAAACTTGAATAGTACTGTCTTCAGCTTTTTCCATTGGTATGATTGCCCCTTCAGCAGTTAGTCCCGCCACGCCTTCCACCATCAAATTGTCTGATGTCAGGGTGCCAGTTTTATCGAAACAACAGATTTGTACTTTGCCAGCAAAAGGAATACGGAAAGGTTCCGTACAGAAAACAAATAACTTTGATAGTTGCATTAGCGAAGTGTTTACGGCCAATGTTAATTCAATTGGTAAATCAGGGGGTATGATGGATGTCAAAATCAATGTACACTCCAAAAATAGTTTGTAACGATTACGCTCAGGATCTTCGCTGCCTTTAATCCAAACATAGGAAGCGGCAGCAATAGCGAATATCATGAGGAATACAATGAATGCAAATGTTTCTAAATTATTTTCCGTTACACGCTTGACACCAAACAAAATTGTTCGCAATAATTTGCCTTGGGATGTATTGAAACCGGTACGAATTACGTAGCCAATACAACCTCCATCTGGTGCACGCATTGCGTCTTTAGTAGGTGCTGTATGTTGAACCACTTTTGTGCCACCAAACAAAACGAAAAGTTTGCCCTCGCCGTCAACATCGAGTTCAGTGTTTAGATTATCAAGTGATTCTAATGACTCTTTCATTTGTGGTACTGATTCGCCTATAAAAACAAATTAAGAGAAAATTTTTAAATAAAAAAAATTTTTTACTTGGTGAAGACTTTTTTGATAACATCTTTTTGAATTCTAATGAGTAAACCGTTAACGACATCTAAATAAAGTTTGCCACCAATTTTGCTCTTTGTTAAATTATTTGACTCATCTCTGATCGTCAACATAAGCACCTAAGGATAAGTTACTTCTACGAAGTAAGAGATAAATAAATACAAATAGATCTACGTCTCATTAAAATTTTAAAATACATTTTGTTTTCATAAAATCTTAGAAAAATGTGTTGGAACTGAACAAAAGCTTTATTTATAAAATTGTTTATGAAAGTCCTAGTTGTCGACTTTAAAATAAAGGTTTGACCTCTTTCGTGCTTCCTTTCTTCTTTAAGATATCTTAATCTTTAGTTTAAAACTACATTAAATTCAAATACAATTTATATTGCTTTTATTTAACTGCAAAAACTTCAACGGAATGGAAATTATGATGTAGTGAAATAAACCATCTTTTTTATTTATTATTTTCCAAGCTTTACGTTAATATATTTCAAAGTAGGAATAAAATATGAAAGAGTTTAAAACTTTATTTTAAAGTTGAGAGATTGGACTTTCACATGACAAACTTTAGGACACGATCTCTCGAAACTTGATGTGATCGAGAAATTCAAATGTCGGATTCGTATTCATTGCAACTCAGTCCTTTAATCTTTTAATCTTTGGATTAATTTGTTTACCTGTGTAAGTAATTACTTAGAAATTGCTCTTTAAAACAAAAACCATTTTTATAGTTAAGATTTTGAAAAAATTTAAGGAATTCCGTAATTGCTAACTATTTCAATTCAATACATTTGGTCAAACAGACAACTCTTTTCAATTCATTTTGTTGAATAATCGGACTGAAATCCCACCCCTATAGAATAACCGTTTAAGAAATTGTATACAAACCTCACCTACAAATCTAAATTGTATCTTATATCTATAAATAACTTACCTGTTAGCATACTCTCATCTACGATACAACTTCCACGCAACAAAACCAAATCGCAAGGGACAATATTGTCATTTTGAGATCTGGTTATTGAAACTAAATCACCGGGTAACAACTGATCTGATACCATTTGTCTCCACTTATTCTGACGAAAAACATTTATCAAATACGGCTTATTTCCCATTTTACGAATTTCGGACATATTACGCAACTGCTGTTGCACCAACGTACATTCGAATACAATTAACATGCAGAGTGTGAATAAAGAATAATACCAGTATTCGTCCAGGCACCAAAGACCGACAGAAAATATTTGAAATACAAAAAATGGAGCAGTAGCTCTCTCTATAAACAATTCGAAAAATTCTGGTACAACCATCTCCATTTGATTGTTACCATACGTCTTTTCAGCCAATGTAATCGCAGCCTCCGTCTCAAGACCACGTGACTTTGAATAATGCTGCAAAAGTTCATTGATTGGAAACTCAATTCCTCTAAAGGTAGCTTTCTCTTCATCCCAAACGTATTTGGTTTTTTGAAACAGAAAATAATACATTTCTCGGCCATCCTCTAATGTCGTCCTTCTAATATTTACCATTTCGGATGAGCCATTATTGGCTGTCGGCACCACTTTAGCCAGAACACCCACTTTCGGAACTTTGACCTTGCGACAGTTCAGAAACGCCAAAACATGAACACTCCAATAGCAGCAAAGCAGCGTCAAAACATGAACAAATGCTATGGCTGCAATAGCCACAAGACCGGCTTCATAATATTCTTCTACACCATAGACCGCTATCCATAAATAAAATGCTCCCAGATACAGAAGTGTAAAGGGTAGCACGACAATACTTAAAATTATGGGATTCCGTGCATAGAGTGTTACATATTGTACTAAATCATCGATACCATGACTGGTGCCAACATTGCCTGTATTTTTGTTTTTGGAATTTACTGCATTGGCGGAGTCTAAGGCTTGTTTTTGCAAAATTAATTTGTTTTTGACATCTTTTTCTTCTTTGCTGCCACTCATTTTATTCACAATTTCATTAACTTTTGATCGTCATTTATTTTTGGAAAAAGTTTTACTCAATTTTCCAAATAATTGATCAGGAAAATTTAATGAAAATTCATAAATAGTAAAAAGCACAATTTTATTCGGCGACTTGAAGAAAATTATGAATTGTCAAAATATTTTTACAAACTATTTGACATTTGTGACGTGTTCATTTTACAATGTTAAGTTGCCAAGCCACTTTTATAACAACGGTATTAAGGTATTGGGACAGTTAAGAATTTGGGAATGTAATTTTCGAGGTCCAAGGTCCGGTTGCACAAAATACGAATAAAAATTTTCTTTCTTGTTTTATAATTAAAAGCGTATTTCAAAATGTTCACACAAAAATAATTTTTTTGTAATTTCTCAACGTTTTTTTTTTTAATTTTCCTCATTTCCTCTGCTTAGTGTTTCCTTGATTATTTTTTAAAAAACTTTTAGATTGTATGCGCAGATTATACTTTTAAAATGTTACGTTAAGCAAATAAGATACACAGTCCCCGATAGTGTAGTTGGTAGTGTGCTACCCTGTCAGTCTGGGATTGTGGATTCGAATCCCACCAGAGACTCTGATCTGCATCATTACGGACGTAAGGCTATCGTCAACCTGCTCGGTTATTTGTAATTATTTGTAATTGTAATTGACAAATGAATAAATAACATACAAAATCGTATTTTGTACCATATAAACATACAAACAACGATTTTATTGTACGTTTGTGTACGCCTGTTGTGTAGTGTATGAGAGTGTTTCGTGTTTGTAAAAATCAAGCATTTGTATGTTTGTACAAAAATTTAAAAAATTTGGTTTTTATAGACCTGGTCCACACTAGGAAACTTTTGTTGAGAAACTTTTTCTTAATTCTCTTTTGAAGTTTCCTTAATGTCAACACATGAAAACTTTTGTTTCAGAAACTACGTATTAATTGCATTGATTTGTTGTTGTACGAATGAGAAGAATAACAAAACAAAACAAGTTTCCGAGTACGGATCAAAAGCTTCCCAAAAAAATGAAAAGTTTCCCAAAAAAAAGTTTCCTAGTGTGGATCGGCAGATACAAACATATTGAATTTTTGTCAAACCATTTGTATGGTTTATATTCATTAATAACAAATTTAAAAAAAAAGTCCACAAAAACGTAAAAAAATTGGTATTTGTACGATCAATGTTTGTGTAGTGTATGTGCGAATGAAAAAAGGTTTGTTTGATAAGCCCTTGTGTGGTCTATTTGGGCCTTAATAATTTTATATATAATCGAATTTGTTTAGTGGTTAATGTGAAAATAGTTAAAAACGTCAGCCCCTTATTAAATTCAAAATTCTCCCAATTGCGCTAAACGCCGACGCTACCGCATTTGTTATATTCAAGTCGTTATGTAAATAGATTCCCTGATAATTTAATTTCCGTAGTTTGTTTATTTTATTAAAGTTAAAAGGGTTATCTCAACATCCATTTAAAGATTCATATGGTCTATTGTGATTTCCTTTAAGAAAAAATGAAAAACAAATGGATATTTAAAGAGAAAAGTACGAAAAATTAAACTCCAATACAAATATGTACATATGTATGTATGTCGGTAACTGCCGGTCCACACTAGTAAACTTTTTTTGGGAAACTTTTTACGTGAGAGAGAAAAAGAAAGAATATCATTCAACTCTCTCGCGGTACGGAGTTTCTCGTACTCGGAAACTTGTTTTGTTTTGTTATTCTTCTCATTCGTACAACAAATCAATGCAATTAATACGTAGTTTCTGAAACAAAAGTTTTTATGAGTGGACATTAAGGAAACTTCAAAAGAGAATTAAGAAAAAGTTTCTCAACAAAAGTTTCCTAGTGTGGACCAGGTCTAAAAGTAAGAAGTTGTTAAAAAACACAGTCATTCAAAGACACAATGGGCGATTCCCTTTATGAAAAAAAAGAGAAAAAATTATGAAAGAGTAGAAATTTTAAAATGTTATAGTTAAAAAATCGACTTTTCGCAAATTTGAAAAGTCGACTTCTAATAATTCGCAAAAGTCGACTTGCAGCGTTATTAACTATTTTCTAAATGTTTTACAGTGCACGTTAGCCATATTTTTATGAAAAAAAATTGGCAACACGAAACATAAATGTGATATGATAATCAGAGACTTGCGCCGATTCGTCTTTAAGCCGACTAGCCGCCGAACAAAATGTCAAGCCGCCAAATTTTTCAGCTTAAGACAGCTTGAAAATTTTACATATTTTGAATAATTTACAGAACACACGCTAAATTTATGGAATTTTACAATATAAAATTAATTTATTTTAATTTAAATAAGTTTTCTTTCATATAATAATAAGCCACTCTTTGAAATTAGACAGTAGCCTATGACAACGATGTAGCGGTAGCTGTATCAGGCCATCATCTTGAAACCTTATCTCAAAGCTTAGAATATGCACCAAAGCCCCCTTCACACGAGCACACAAGTAATATTATCTGTCAAAATTGTATCTAGAAGTGCAGGGATGGGTTCGTCTAAACGCAATATGTAATTAAAACATCACACATTGAGAGAAAATACGGATGGAAAATTTGACAGTCGTATGGCACTCCTCATTTTTTGAAATGATTCGAAAAACAAGCAATTTGCATTAGATCAGGGATGTATTTTTATGTAAAAACTTCTTCTTCTTCTATTGCTGTTACTCTCAGTAACATTGTCAATCATTCGAAAAGACCACCGAAACATATGTTATTATTGTGGTCTTTACTAAAGTGTTTGGTGTAAATATATATTTTTATTCATTTTTATTATTTTTCTATTTCTCTTTCTCTCTTTTTTTATCTCCTTCTTTCTCGTACGTAAAGTGTGATAGTCTGAAGTGTCCTTAAGGATCATTAGCTCATGGAGCGTTGAATGTGGTCTTCGCCTTCTTCTTCTTCTTCTTTTGTCCTGACGTCAATATTAGGTGAGCTGGATCAATCCTTTTTTAAGGTTTTTCTTATTTTTTCATATTTCTGTCAAATAAATCATATGCAAATTTGGTATCGAAATTCGATGTTTTGTATTTTATTTAAAAATTGTAAACCAAAAATTGTAAACCCATTTTCTCCCCGGTATTGTGCAGCTATATTTATCTAACGTACCTAATATGTATACCAATATAATTAGCTTTACATTGATATATAACACGTTATTATTTCATTCTATTATAAATCCAATTTTTAGTTCAACTAAACTATTAACACAATTTATCCTAAAAATCGACTTGGTTGTTACACTTGCTTTGTTTATAACGGTTTGTATGCAGTTGCTTACATTATTTTGCAATGTTTTGGTAGCGCCATAGGCTTCGATAAATTCAAATAAAATTCGATCTATGTAGATTGAATTTTGACAAACGCAAAAGCCGTTTCGATAAATTTTATTGAGGATTATTATTATTTATTAATTTCAGCGAATTATATTAAATTCATCTGTGTTAAAATGCAAAAAATCTGAAAAATTTCCGAAAAAATTAAAAATTTCGATAACTTTTTCAATTGCACAAAAATTTTTGACATGCCATTGAAAACGCCTCTCAAGGACCTTTCTTATGATACCAGAATATGAAAAAATGATAAATACTTAAAAAAAGGACATTTTAATCCTTTGATCCAGCTCACCAAATATTGACGCCAAGACAAAAATTTTGAGAAACGGGACCATCCTAATGTACATACGTATGTATGCATGGTAAAAATATCAAGGTAGTGTCATTCTCTCTTTTAGACGCCAATTAACCTTCTGACGTTTGTTGGTATTTTAATAAATCGAGCTACCACATTTATTTAAAAAAATCCATTTTTTTTTTTGTTTATTTTTCAATCAAAATAAATAAAATAAAAATCAATTGAAACTGAAAATCAAACAAAATTTTTAATCTAATACAATAAAAATTTAAATAAAATTGCCAAAAAGAAAACAGCTTTATAAGGAAAATGAATAACCAAAACTATATGCTTCCTCTTAAGCCCAATATCAAATGGATCGACACTATGGAGACTCACGATAACATTGTCTGTTGCTTCCCATGTTCTTCAAGTTGGAGAAAGGATTAACAGAAGAAACCAAATAAAACCGCTTTATATAAAAACGTTTTTTAATAAATAGTAGTTTATATCTTGTTACATCTAAAATTTATCTTCCAACATAGGTATATGGCAGACCAGAATTTGCTGTCCGTATCAATAACGTGTGCAATATGTGTTCCATTCGGTCCAAGAATACACGGTTTTCTTCAAGTAAAAAAAAACGAGTAATGAAATCTTTTGGCTACATTGCTTCCAGCTTCTTGTCTAATATTGACACCATTATTGGGGTATGATTATTCCACTTTTTGGCTGGATGTTTGTTTTGTGTAAATTCATACCCAGCAATAAATGGAAATCATACTTTACAAACAAAATCTTAATCACACCTAAAAATGTGATTACATATTTTCCGCATTTATGATCCTTAAATATAAACCTAGATAATAATGAGAAAAAGATGTAGAAAGGTCACTGGTGAAAAACGAATGATTTTTAAAAAAGGGTGTCATTGGAAGAATGTGGTTTATTTTTGACATACAAATATCAAATTTTTACTGCTTCTAAAAATAAGGTTAAATCTACTTCAGAGTTGTCAAAAACGAACAGCATCCCTACCTTAAAAAAATCAGTTCTATTGATTACTGCAGTGTTAAGGACACAATTATACTTTGCATAAAAACACGTCTAAAGGATAACCTAACTAAAACAATAACTTTTTAAATCGGGCCAGCGGTTCTCACTGAACCTAAAATATTTTTGAAATCTTTAACGTAAATTCCACATACACAACACAAATTTCTTAAAAACTAATTTCCCCCTTTTTGATATGTGGCAACGATTTTTCTATTTATTTACAAAATACAAATTTCATAAAATACCAGTAAACTTCAAAAAAATTTTTGAGAGAGTGAAATGACACTACCTTCATATTTTTATCATGTATGTATGTATGTACATCAAAACTCTAAAATAATTCAGTCATATTTTAAAGAATTAACAATTCTTCAAACTCATTACCTTTGATATGATATGATATTTCATAAGTAGAAATTTATAACCGATTATGGCCTATATAGGCTAGGTTATTGAAATAAAGAATTTGAAATTGAAAAAATTGAAAATTGATATAATGCCTATAATTAATTCTTAAAGCTTTTAATGTAGTTAATTAAATTTTCACGCAGGTGAAGGGTATAAAAATGAAGAGTTGAAATAAAAATAGTTCTCTTAAGTTTAAAATGAAAATGAGTGGTATAAGGAGAGAAATAAATAAAATAGTATTACGAATACAAAAATTTCTTACTCTGGTAGACAATTCCTATTTTTAAAATATTTGCTTTCAAAATCCCACTTTTTAATCTCTCGGATTCCGTTTTTATTTAAAATCGTTGAGAATTTAAAAATAACTGAAAACTTACCCGACATAGAATAGATGGCCTCCTGTAGGTTAGTGATTAGTGTACTAGTCTGGTAGAGCGGAGAATGTGGGTTCCAATCCCACCTGAGGCACTGGTAAAGGAACGCACAACAGGCCGATAGAGGCCTAGGTTTATTTATTGGGATTTAATGTATATACATCCTCCTTTTAAACTAATTAACTAGCCGTCTTACAGCCGATTTTGAGCCGCCGTCATCATTTTTAATGTCAGCCGCCGGTAATATTTGTCGGCGCTAGTCACTATTGATAATTGAAAAAAAGTCATTATCATTTTCTGTTTGATATTGCACGTGGACGTGCTTAATTTTACTTTGAATAGTTTTAAATTACATACGAAAAATGTTTTGCTACATTTCATCTATTATTAAACTATGAAATAACTTCCATGTGAGGTAAGAAATATTTAACATTATGGGTTTTTAATATTTAATATAAAATTTTTTCTGATGATAACAAAGATAGGGACACCTGAATAAAGATGTTGATTTATCAATTTTTCTAAAAATCTGATTTTCTTCGAAAGTTTAATATCTACTTTTTAAAAGTGTAAATATATTAATCCATATGTTGCTTTTTATATTTCATAGACTTTGGATGGTATTAAAACTACACGTGGACAATGGATTGTTCAAGTGGAAATCGTGATTCCGTTAGATGTGTTTTTCATTTGGAATGTGTTACTAAATACATGTTAAAAAGGCAAGTATTTTTTTGGTTAACATGTTAAAAAAAATCATATTTAACGATGATAATCGTGATAGGGACATCTGAATTATAATGGATGATTTATCAATTGTTTCCAAAATTTCTGAAAATAGTATTTAATTAACTATAATTTAACTTCCATTATTATAAATATATAAATAATTGTTTTTTATTATATATTTTTTACATTTTAGGATTTCAATTTAGCAAATTGGGACAAGACATCACAAATATGGTAAGTGTCCATATAATATTACAAGACTCTATAAGTAGTACATATATTCATAAAATATCTTGAAAAAAATTCATTATGAATAATGTACATAGTAAATGTTGCAGTGATGATACTAATGATAGGGACAGCTGAAATTAACATGATTGATTTATCTTTTGTTTCCAAATTAACTGAGTGTTCCCTTAGTTTACCTTTGAAAATAAATTTTGTTTACAATTATTTTAATTTTGTATTCTTTTTTTTTAGACTCGACAGGCATTGAAACCAAAAACCTTTAACAGTGGAGTTAAGATCAAAGAAGTAAGTTAATACCAAAAATTATGTACAGTTAAATGCTTTTTCACTGTATGATGATAACCATGATAGGGACATCTGAATAATTATGAGGATTTATCAAAAGTTTCCAATTATTACTGATTCAAAATTTCAGATATCTAATATTTCATTACTGGCATATAAACTAATACAGATTTTTTAATTTTTACTTGCAGTTGCTGAGAGCAATAAAACATGGAGTCATAATTTTAATATAGAGACTTCCAAACATAAAACATGTACAAAACAGTTTTTATATATCGGAGAAATAAATGATCTAATTTAAAAACATGAAATATTCGGCTTTTATTTATTAAAACATTACGTCTTCACAACACTTCATGCGTTGGGAATATTTCCACGCAAATTCTTAGGTTAGGTTTTTGAGGCAGTTGGCCATTTGACCGACTCACTTGGGTCCTAATGGTCCCGTTGTGATACCCTATAGCGGATCCTGCAAAGAGAAAACCAACCTATGGGACATTACCTGTCCGTGTTTAACATGGTGTTAAACCAACCAGAGACACGAATGAACGATTCTATCTTATATATGTCTATGTTAGATAGAGCCGCAAGTTCATGCAATATTGGACTGCCTAGAAACTCAGTCCTGATGTTTGCTAAGGCAGAGCAAGTGTTCTACAGTTTCCTCTTCGTCCTCACTTTGACAGCTCCTGCAATAATCATTGTATGGAAGATTTAGTCTTCTTGCATGCGCACCCATAGTACAGTGCCTTGTTAGGATGGCTACCAGTATACGTAGTCTCATCCTTGGAAGCCCCATCAGACTGAAAGACCTTCGCTCATCATAGAGAGGCCAGGTCATTCTTGATGTAGAGCAATAGGTCAGTGATGACCATCTGGTCTGAGCAGACCCATAGAGTTCATGCTGAATAAAGGCCTTACAGCATGAAAGCGGAACACCGACTATGTGTGTCCCCTATGTGAAGCCTGGAACCAGTCATAGCTGAGATTTCAGCCTGTAAGACGCTGCAGTTATCGTTCAGCTTAAAACATATCGCCTTATTTAAGCGGGGAATAATGAAACTACCACCCACGCCTGTGGTGGACTTAGATCCATCAGTAAAGATGTCAAGTGTTTCACCTTCTGAGAAGGATGGTACATTTGACATCCTAACTGTGAATCTTTTGTCCGGAAGTAGCGTGGGAGAGCAGTAATCTATATTTTCGGGGATGTAAGTCGTACTCCCCAGGATAGAAGCATGACCATGTCGGTTTGTCTTCCATATTCCGGCAGCATGAAGTCTGACTGCCGAGTTTAATGCCAGTTGCCTGGCCATCAGATCGGCAGGCAACCAGTGCATAAGTGTGAACAACGCCTGCGATGGCGTACTTCTAATCGCACCAGTGATCATTAGTGCAGAAGCTCGCATTATTCCTTCAGTATGATTGCAGTAGGTGGATTTTTCCAAAGCTTTCCACCAGGCAAGCGCTCCATACATCAGAATAGGCTTTATAACCATGTCGAAGATCCATTTTGCAGTATTGGGACTAATTCCCCAGTTCTTACCAATGGCCTTCCTACATGCGTACAACGCGATAGATGCCTTAGAGGCTCTCGCTTTGATGTTCAGATTCCATAGTAGTTTAGAATCAAGAATGATACCTAAGTATTTTGCACTATCAGAGAGTTTAAGCTCTACCCCATTCAGGCGAGGAAGAGGAAAGGAGGGAATCTTGTATCTATTCGAGAATAGAACAAGTTCGGTCTTCCCAGGATTGACACTGAGACCAGATTTTTCGACAAAACCTACGAGTGAGTGAAGTGCAGTTTCAACAGATCTACCTTTCATGTAGGCATGTTGAGATGCAGATAAACGGTCAGAATCGATCGTACTTCTAATGTGCAGATCGATAATCCTTTCCAAGGTTTTCAAAAAAAGGATGACAGACTGATTGGCCTGAAATCTTTCGGTTTTGTATGAGAGACATTTCCCCCTTTGGGGATAAAGACCACCGTGCATCTGGTCCAAGATTCAGGAATGTAGGACCATTCAAGACAGGCCGAGTAGATTCTAGTCAGCAGGGGATTATGACATCCTCATTGTGCTGGAGATCAGCAGGTATTATACCATCGGGACCCGGTGATTTATACGGGTCAAAGCTCTCGAGAGCCCATTTCAGCTTATCCTCATTAATGAGATTGTTAGCCTCCATGCGCGTATCAGAGAGTTCATCGGAGAGCTCCCCCGTGAGAGGCGAGTTACCAGGAAAATGGGCGACAAGGAGGACTTCTAGAGTCTCCTTACCGCAAGTTGTCCATGAGCCACAGTCCTTTTGGATGTAGCTTGGAACAACCGTCGATGTAGACAATATTTTCCGCAAACGGCTTGTCTCAGAAGATCCTTCCACGCCGCTACAGAAGGATAACCAAGACTTGCGTTTTGCATTTCTGACCAGGTTTTTGAACCTGTTCACTGAGGCTTTATACTCCGACCAGTTTCCTAGTCGTTTGGCCTCGTTAAACAATCTGCGACACACTTTGCGAGTGTCTGCTATTTCGGTTTACTGCTGGTGGTTTACTCTTGACTTTACAGACCTTTGGTCTGCAAGATTCCGAGATTGCTCTGTCAAACGCATTTGTAAGTACGATAGTCGCATTCTCAATATCCGTCAGATTTTGTATGTTCGGTGGTTGCTGGAGAAGGTTGGATAGGATCTCATGTTGTCTTGTCCAATCCGTTCTTTTCCTATTTCGAATAGGCATATCCTTCGTTTCCCTGACCTCTATTATAAAGTCAATATACATGTGATCAGAAAAGGAGCAGTCTTTTGAAACCCTCCATTCCCTGATCATGTTAAAATGCCTAGAACTAACTAGCGTAATGTCCAAAACCTCTCTTCTGTTTATCACCACAAAGATAGGTTCTGAACCAGTATTAACTACATCAATACCATTGCAAAGAATAAAGTTGAAAATTGACTCACCCCTTGCGTTGATATCCGAGCTGCCACATATCTCATGGTGTGCATTGGCGTCAGCCCCAATTATAATCGGCAACTTTTCATTGTTCGCCCTATTTACAATATCGCGAACCTTTTTGTTTGGCGGTGGTTCGCAGTGGTCATGGGCCATATAGCTGGAGACCACTAGTATGATACCAGAGCTTGTCTCCCAGGCCGCTACAACAGTGTCTTCATCGCTGTAATCAGATTGGATGAAGACTTTTAGATCGCTTTTGGCAAGTATACATGATCTAATCCTACCTGTACCATTCATGTATAAAAGCTTGTAGCCTTTGATACTAAGTCCGCAAACCCTTTCACGGTGGATCCAGGGCTCTTGGATCCTCCCCTCTCTCTGCCATCCGGAGGAGCATGGCAGCCGAAGCTGCTTTGGAATGGTGAAGGTTAATTTGTGTGACCTTCACCATTCTTCTTCTTCTTCGAGACGCTTATAACGGTGACGTTGGCGTCCTCTTGATGGGATTTCATGAGGTCGTCCTCGTCAACCGTTTCGCCGCCGTCGACTGTCTCTTCAACCCCCTCGAAGAACTCACCAACCAGTTGTGAATTGGTTGTGGAGTCCTCCTCGGCGATTGAACTGGCAGCCTCGTCGCACGACATCTCTTCCGGAGCCGGATCCTCGTCATTGTGAACAATTTTGTCCTTGTCGTCACCTCGGTAGGCACGCAGAAAGATCGACTCAAAGCCGTAGTAGACCTTTCCTCGTCTCTCCCGAAACGACTCAGAAAGTGATTTTGAGTCAATCGATATACTTAAAGGTAGTTATAGTACTAATATTTTAGAGTGTTACGAACATTAGCACAAACGCATAATACCCTTCCAACTATAGTGGCGTAGCAGCTGCTTATACTTTGTCATTTGTTGTCAGTGTTGAATCTAACTCCATTGTGCACTAAAATAAGTAAATAAAATTTACTAATCGAGTACTCAAAAATAACTCGAAATTAATTTAAATTTTATTGTTAATCGTTTACCTTAAAATTTCATCTGTTGTTAGGTGGTACATTTCAAAGCCTATTTTAAGGCATGATTAAAATGTTTTAAATATTATTAGGTGATACATTTCAAAGCATATTTTAAGGCATTATAAAAAAAGCCTTATTCATAACAATTTATCAAAAGTTTCATACAAAATTTGTTCTATAAATGGATTTTTGACGATTTAAAAAAAAAAATTACCTAACCACTGGCCCCCATTCCGCCCTTAATCACCTACAACTGTCGATCATCACGAAAACAGCTCAGCTCCAAATATACGAAATTTCATAGTTGTAGTATAGTTGTGAGGGAAATGTGGGGACAATTTTATGTTATGAAACATATTAGCTTCAGTTTCATTCATCTAGTATGAACTCTAATAACTACAAATTCATATTTGAAACCACTATTTCACGTTTTTCTAGCGCCTTTGGAGCAATAACGTGGCCATTTGAATGAGAAAATAATTTGAATAAGAACAATACCGCTAGGGCCGTAAAAGGATTGATTCGAATCCAGAAAAAATGTTGGAGTTGGAGTGGCCTCCATACTCTCCTGACCTATTTATTAAGTAAAATTTGTGTCATACTGTTTGCCCGACTTATACACTTTACGAGAAATAATATCCCCAAAATTTTACTTTAATTAAAGGAAGTAAGTTAACTTTATTGAGGCTGAAAGTACTGATCAAAAATATAGCGCACTTTCTGTTTATTATTTTCTCTTTTTATACCATTAAACAAAAACTTTAGATAACACATTTTTTTGCGGTAAATTAAAGCATATAGTCCAGTTTATTAAAACAATATTGAAATTTATTTTAAAACAGCAAAATAACTGCACTAGAAAATATTTTACGAAACAAGTCCTTAATTATTGATTCAAAATTATAGCGCATTTTAATTTAAATTGGCAATAATATATTCTTATATGAAATCAATATTGGATCACGGGATGATAAAATACTTCTGCCCCTATATTTTAAGACCCATTTGGTCCCAGTTGGTATTGAGTTGCCTAAGTGTAGTGAACATTTTGGGTTTTTTTTTACCAAATTCTTTTTTTGTATTTTACAATCAATTTATGCAGCTATTTCAAATTCTGAAGACATGAATCGTTAATTAGTCAATCAAAATATAATTTATAAACATTTGGTAACAATTTAGTCAATGTTATTTGAGAATATTTCCTTGATAGATCCAAGATTTCTAAATTTCGCGCGATAGCACTGAGCGTTTTTAATATTTGAACTAGGTCTATGTTTAAATAGGCCCAATAATATGCTCATATTTTCTATAAAGGTTAAAATTTAGTGATCCTAGTATTTTCA